CTGTCTATCTGTCTGTGTCTGTCTGTCTGTCTGTCTGTCTGTCTGTCTGTCTCTCTGTCTCTCTGTCTCTCTCTGTCTCTCTCTCAACCACTTGAGCTGGACGGTAGAGCGACGGTCTCACTTCATGCAGGTCGGTGTTCAATCCCCGACCGTCCAAGTGGTTGGGTACCATTCCTTTCCCCCCCGTCCCATCCCATACCTTTATCCTGACTTGCTATATAGTCGTACTGGCTTGGCGCTTTCCCTTGATAATTCCCTCCCTCCATCCCTCTTTCACTCTCTCCCCCTCTCCCCCCTCTCTCTCTCCCTCTCTCCCTCTCTCCGTGCTTTTAACGGGATCACTCTCAACGATACGGACATTCCTCACTTTCTCTGAGTGATCTGGTGAGCGCGGGGCGGCCGGTGTGGGCCGGGAGGCTGTGTACAATAACACCAGTATGTATACCAGCAGTTTACCTGCCTCACCACACTGCTCTTGGTCTCCCTGCTCCAGATGTATACCTCTGGCGGCACATTATACACACATGCATACTCACATGCACTCACGCACGCACACAGGGGCCTGGGAGCCTGATGCATAGCGCGCAGGACTCGTAATTCTGGGCCACGGGTTCGATTCCCGCACCAGGCAGAAACAAATGGGTAAAGTTTCTTTCACCCTGAATGCCCCTGTTACCTAGCAATAAACAGGTACCTGGGAGTTAGTCAGCTGTCACGGGCTGCTTCCTGGGGGGTGTGTGTGTGGTGTGGGGAAAAAAAGTAGTTAGTAAACAGTTGATTGACAGTCGAGAGGCGGGACCAAAGAGCCAACGCTCATCCCCCGCAAGCACAACTAGGCGAGTACACACACCCTACCTAAAAGCAACACAACCCAAACTAGACAACCCCACAGATACCCAAAAAAGGTCACCCCCTAGACTCATGGCGGACTGAATTATCAAAGAAAACAAAGAGGAACTGGACCTTACACAAGATCCAGTTCCTCTTTGGAACAGACCTTATCAAGGTCTGCGCTGTTACTTAAAGTAACAGCGCAGACATGATCACAACATACAAAATTCATGGACCCCCCCCCTCCCCCAGGACCACCGGGACCTCTCCACACACAGTCCTCTTCGACGACGGTGCGGCAGGACACCTCCGGTGGTCGCTGGAGGAGTGGTCGCTGTACGCAGGCACCGTGGGAGGTCATGCAGGGGGGGGGGGGGCTCCAGGGGAAACACCTGGGGCAAGACTGGCTGAGTAACAACAGTCGTGACAATGTCTATTATTTATGTCAGACTTTCACTGAACCTATTGTTTTTTACATCTCTAATTTAATCGATGAATGTTGTGTGTGTGTGTGTGTGTGTGTGTGTGTGTGTGTGTGTGTGTGTGTGTGTGTGTGTGTGTGTGTGTGTGTGTGTGTGTGTGTGTGTGTGTGTGTGTGTGTGTGTGTGTGTGTGTGTGTGTGTGTGTGTGTGTGTGTGTGTGTGTGTGTGTGTGTGTGTACTCACCTAGTGTGCTTGCGGGGATTGTGTGTGACTCTTTGGTCCCGCCTCTGTGTCAATCAACTTGTGTGTGTTCCTGTGTGTACTCACCTAATTGTAATCACCTAATTGTGATTGCGGGGGTTGAGCTCTGGCTCTTTGGTCCCGCCTCTCAACTGTCAATCAACTGGTGTACAGATTCCTGAGCCTACTGGGCTCTATCATATCTACATTTGAAACCGTGTATGGAGTAAGCCTCCACCACATCACTTCCTAGTGCATTCCATTTATTAACTACTCTGACTCTGAAAAAATTCTTTCTAACGTCTCTGTGGCTCATCTGGGTACTAAGTTTCCACCTGTGTCCCCTTGTTCGTGTCCCACCCGTGCTGAAGAGTTTGTCTTTGTCCACACTGTCAATTCCCCTGAGAATTTTGTAGGTGGTTATCATGTCTCCCCTTACTCTTCTGTTTTCCAGGGATGTGAGGTTCAGCTCCTTTAGCCTTTCCTCGTAGCTCAATCCTCTCAGTTCCGGGACGAGCCTGGTGGCATACAGCTGAATCTTCTCTAACTTTGTCTTGTGTTTAACTAGGTATGGACTCCAGGCTGGAGCTGCATACTCCAGGATTGGTCTTACATAAGTGGTATTCAGGGTTCTGAAAGATTTCTTACACAAGTTTCTGAAGGCAGTTCTTATGTTGGCCAGTCTAGCATATGCCGCTGATAATATTCTTTCGATGTGGGCCTCTGGGGACAGGTTCGGTGTGATATCAACCCCCAGATCCTTCTCTCTATTTGACTCTTGCAGGATTTCCCCTCCCAGATGATACCTTGTGTTCAGCCTCCTGCTCCCTTCGCCTAATTTCATCACCTTACACTTTCCCGAGTTGAACTTTAGCAGCCATATTCTAGACCATTCCTCCAGTTTATCCAGGTCATCCTGTAGTCTCTATTTCATGCAGTCTGTCTGTATTAGTCTGTCTGCAGTCTGTATGTAGTCTGTATTTCATGCCATCCTGTGTGTGTGTGTGTGTGTGTGTGTACTCACCTAATTGTACTCACCTAATTGTGCTTGCGGGGGTTGAGCTTTGGCTCTTTGGTCCCGCCTCTCAACTGTCAATCAACTGGTGTACAGATTCCTGAGCCTACTGGGCTCTATCATACCTACATTTGAAACTGTGTATGGAGTCAGCCTCCACCACATCACTTCCTAGTGCATTCCATTTATTAACTACTCTGACACTGAAAAAATTCTTTCTAACGTCTCTGTGGCTCATCTGGGTACTAATCTGTGTCTCACATCTGTGTGTGTGTGTGTGTGTGTGTGTGTGTGTGTGTGTGTGTGTGTGTGTGTGTGTGTGTGTGTGTGTGTGTGTGTGTGTGTGTGTGTGTACGTACACACTGCTGTGTACTTGACGCAGTAACTATTCTTGGATTTGGTTTTCCTATCATCTTTACATTGACAATACTGTATTATTGCGTTTGTTTGCACCACGTGTTCATCTTACTCAGTCGACTTATTCACAAGACAGCCGCCGCTGACTCACCGGTCTCTGGTCTCCTCGCTTTGGACAGTAGCTTCTTGCGGGGGCTACTTTGTCTATATCCCTTAGAATCTGTGATGTCGTTATCATGTCCCCTAATGATCAGTTCCCTCTTCGGTGAGATGGTGGGCAGATCTCTCACCTCTGGAACGATCCTCATTGCACATCACTGAACCTTGTCAAGTTTGGAACGATCCTCATTGCATATCACTGAACTTTGTAAAGTTTTATTTTGTGTTCTTTAGGGTATTTCATGCCAATGCTGCACATTCAAGATCTGTTCTCATGTAGGTTGTGTATAAAACTCAGAAGGCCCCTTCGTAAATGTTTCTAATGGCTATTTGGTCATATTCTCCCATGTCATTCTATTAAGATGGTCCTCTGTTAATATATATGAATATATCTGTCACTGTTACAGTTTGTTTCCTTCCTGAGAGGTACTCCTTAACCCACTACCGCCCACACCTGCTGGATCACCACCCAAGTGTACATAGGTGTCGGCCAGGGTGGATACACATGTGTAGGCCCACACCCTTTTCCAGCAGTATATGGTGATGCCATCAGGGCGAAATGCGGGGTAATCCGGGTATATATGATGGAATATAACATATATAAATATATTATATTTTGGTATATAATGAGATATGGAGCACTCGACCACATTACGGGCTATTCATGCCCGTGCCACCTTTCGGGTGGCTTAATCTTCATCAATCAATCACGCGATCACACAAGGTGACGGTAATGTTGTGGTGGACGGGAGAACCTGCCATGATGGCAATTCATGTTGAGTAATGGGGCCTTTGTTGGGCCCAGGTTAGAAACATCGTTTGGGGGTGGCACAGTGCCAAACCTGATCCGTCCCTTCAGAGAAAGTGGCAGAGTGCCAAACCTGACCCGTCTCACCAGTAGGAATGGCTTCCTATTTATCTATTACTTCTGAAAAAAAACAGAATTTACGTGTGGCTCTTTGCCCACAGTGACGAAGGTGGATATAGTGTTTTTATAACCATCCATCTTTTTATAGCATGATTTACATTTTTATAATATATGTTAAGAATTACAAGATAAATGGATAGATCCAATTTACCAGCAATTTAGTCTAGTAGTTTCAGTGACGAGTCATGTATGTCAATAATGACAATTATAACAAGAAACTTGAAGTTATATTTAGTCGTCCAATGGGGTCTGTGTGGGGTCTGTGTGCGGTCTGTGTGTGGTCTGTGTACGGTCTGTGTACGGTCTGTGTGCGGTCTGTGTACCGTCTGTGTGCCGTCTGTGTACGGTCTGTGTGCGGTCTGTGTACGGTCTGTGTGCTGTCTGTGTGCGGTCTGTGTGGGGTCTGTTGCCAAGCGTGGGACTAAATGGCACAGGGAATGGACACAGGGGTCAAGGAGCTAGAATAAGACAAAAGGAACAACCATCGAGGATTGAACGCAGACCTGCAAGAAGCAAGGCCGTCGCTGTACCGACCAGCCCGGTTGGGTGGATGGGCGTGGTACATGTGGGTGCCGAGCCGGGCCCGGTGGGTGACAGAGGCGTGTATGAGGACCCACCACGCCCACCAGGAGCGGTTATGACCCGACTGAGTGACAGGACACCGCACTCCACGTCAAGGATGGCCACTCCAGGCTCTCTCTTATCTTCACAGGGACTAAAATAATGACCAAGGTGCCATAGGTGGCACTCGCGCCACCTTGGGTTGGCCCAGGTGGTACTCACACTGCACCGAGTCGAGCCAACTACACTGATGTATTAACAACATCTAACACCTATTAGATGTTGACAAAGAATTAGTTTAAGTCATTACTTCCCTTGATGGCCACACGTGTGGCCGCGGTGGTAGGCCTAACACACCCACAGACGCGACATAACACACACACACATAACACAGCGCACACATAACATTGCCTTACTGGCTGTCTCTGCCGAAGATAACACCAAAGCTTAATAGTATACAAGAAAGATCTGACCTGAGAAGCTTTCGCTATGGACAAGAGAGCTGACGACACCAAACTGAGTATTTCTAGCTGGGTAGTTCTAGGAAGCAATTCGTCGAAATTGCTTCCTGACGTCTATATTTCATGCTTCATTTCACTTGGGGCCATTCATCACTCTCCTGTCAAAATTTACATAGACGTAGCTATTCTGGAGCCATTAATATTTCAACATTTCGACAGAGAGCGAGAACCAGCTTTCGGAGGTAATTACTGGGCGAACTGCTACCGGAGGTAATATAAGGCGGGTTAGAGAAGGCGAGAAACTCAGTGGTTGTGTGACGGCGGTAGTGGACGGGCCAACTTTCACTTTGGCGCTAGGGAAGTACAGAGCACGGGGAGCTTGACGCCCTGCCCGTACCAGACGCCCAACCTGGCCTCAGTCGGGCTCCCGCTGGTACCCAGGACGCACTCGCTGATACGCTCGAGTGATTAACCTACCAGCCATGAGACTAGCCGCGCTGGTGAGTCTGCGTGTTTGTGTATAGCAGCATGCCTAGTGAGATTTTTTTATGTGACGAACACGTAAGTAGCCAACGAGACACCTGGAGAGGCGGTGTGCTCCTTGGGTTGTGGACACCACACGTCTGGGTATGTACTGTCGCGTTGAAGTCTCCGTTCTTGGTGGGGCCCAACAGACGTCGCGACGTGTTAGTGCGTGTTCCCGCTCAACACAAGCTGTGACTTCAACTTAAGCCTCGAGTGTGACCCAGCTTAATCTATGTCAATGTTCGGATCACTGCCGGCTTCTCCTGTCACACTGACTCTTAACTAGTTGTCACTAATGAGGTAATTAGCATATTCTGTGAGAAGGAATGTGATGAGAGCGGGAAGATAAGACACGCGATACGTCTGGCTGAGAGAGGCGGGAGGTGTTGTGGGCGAAGTGTGTGTTTTCCATCCTGGAGGCGCGGAGATGTGCGGGTCCACGCGGTGCACTTAACTACAGTGAGTGTGAGCACATCCCCCTCAGGCACTCCGGCTCTCTGTGTCCAAGAGCGTTTCACCTGGACGACCTCTATACTCTCGCCAAGCTCCTGGTTACCGCCTCACTTCAAGAACAACGATACAAACCTAAATTACTATCTCAAACTCCGCGGCGCGGCATTTGCAGGCGGCTGATGAAGGGGATAATTGAGGACCGTGTTTTGCACACCCACAAGAACCTCCGGCCATAACCATATTGTTTGTACGGGCCAGTCAAATATTCAAATACATCAACAGTTTACAGTGTACGAATCTGGGATACGAGAGGCCAAACATTACATAATATATTACTAACAGTTTTACCGGCAAACCTTCTAACTCGCGCAAGAGTGGACGAAACGAACAATCAAAATCCACAAGAGGCTCATAACGGCTTCTTTAATGTTAAAGGAGAAAGCTAACTGCAGCCAGTCTTGGCAGGATGAGATGCCAATTGCCAGTTTTTAGCGGGGGGAATTGATGGTGCTGCCGAGAAAGCGTCGGATGATAAGTGTGTTCTGGTGACCTTATCTGCTTTGACCGCTCACACCGGGGGGGGGGGGGGGGGGGGTAGTGCCTCCACCGTCCCTCGTACTTGTTGCTGGGGCACCGTCAGTGCCAGACATGTTCATGATGACTGGCCTCCTTCACCTTGTATGCCACAGTCTACCATCTGCAAAATCAATCATTTACTCACACACACTCTCTCACACACTCGTCACTCAAACAGATGCACTCACTCACTCACTCACTCACTCACTCACTCTCACTCTCTCACTCTCACTCTCTCTCACTCTCTCTCACTCTCTCTCACTCTCTCTCTCACTCTCTCTCTCTCTCTCTCTCTCTCTCTCTCTCTTGCTCTCTCCACCTCCTCCTCTCTCTCTCTCCCTCTCTCTCTCCTCTCTCTCTCTCTCTGCCACCTCTCACTCTCCGTCAAGGTAAACAGAGATGCGCTCATGATAGCTCCGTCAGGTTGGAGGGAAGGAGCGGGGAGGGATGACCGTGTTGGGATGGGGTATTATGTTTATCACTGAGCTCTCCCGTATCCTGCCACCTCTTCCGTTAGGTTGGATTACACCAGTCCCTTGCCACCACCACCTCCGTTAGGTTGGATTACACCAGTCCCTTGCCACCACCACCTCCGTTAGGTTGGATTACACCAGTCCCTTGCCACCACCACCTCCGTTAGGTTGGATTACACCAGTCCCTTGCCACCACCACCTCCGTTAGGTTGGATTATATCAGTCCCTTGCCACCACCACCTCCGTTAGGTTGGATTATATCAGTCCCTTGCCACCACCACCTCCGTTAGGTTGGATTTCGTCAGCTGTACCTGTTGAATGTGTGTACTCACCTAATTGTGTCAGCTCTGTGACTTGGTAATTACCATAACACCTTTGATGGAGTGTTCTTAAATAACACCGTGTAGAGGGCTGAGCTCCAGCTCTTGAGCCCCCTCCCCACCTTATTAAACGTTGGTCGTCTAATACAATGTTGCAAGACCACTTTGCTTAGTGCCATATTTTGTGAGAAATATAGAGGTTGACCCAACTATCTTCTCTACGTGTTCGTCCCACTTGCTTATTGCTCTTAGAGTGACGAGGTGTTTCCTCACATCCCTGTGGTTCCCCTGTGTGTGTCTAGCCTCACATCCCTGTGGCTCCCCTGTGTGTGTCTGGCCTCACATCCCTGTGGCTCCCCTGTGTGTGTCTAGCCTCACATCCCTGTGGCTCCCCTGTGTGTGTGTCTGGCCTCACATCCCTGTGGCTCCCCTGTGTGTGTCTAGCCTCACATCCCTGTGGCTCCCCTGTGTGTGTCTGGCCTCACATCCCTGTGGCTCCCCTATGTGTGTCTAGCCTCACATCCCTGTGGCTCCCCTGTGTGTGTGTGTCTAGCCTCACATCCCTGTGGCTCCCCTGTGTGTGTCTAGCCTCACATCCCTGTGGCTCCCCTGTGTGTGTGTCTGGCCTCACATCCCTGTGGCTCCCCTGTGTGTGTCTGGCCTCACATCCCTGTGGCTCCCCTGTGTGTGTGTCTGGCCTCACATCCCTGTGGCTCCCCTGTGTGTGTGTCTGGCCTCACATCCCTGTGGCTCCCCTGTGTGTGTGTCTGGCCTCACATCCCTGTGGCTCCCCTGTGTGTGTGTCTGGCCTCACATCCCTGTGGCTCCCCTGTGTGTGTCTAGCCTCACATCCCTGTGACTCCCCTGTGTGTGTGTCTGGCCTCACATCCCTGTGGCTCCCGTGTGTGTGTCTAGCCTCACATCCCTGTGGCTCCCCTGTGTGTGTGTCGAGCCTTACATCCCTGTGGCTCCCCTGTGTGTGTGTCTGGCCTCACATCCCTGTGGCTCCCGTGTGTGTGTCTAGCCTCACATCCCTGTGGCTCCCCTGTGTGTGTGTAGCCTCACATCCCTGTGGCTCCCCTGTGTGTGTGTAGCCTCACATCCCTGTGGCTCCCCTGTGTGTGTCTCTAGCCTCACATCCCTGTGGCTCCCTTGTGTGTGTGTAGCCTCACATCCCTGTGGCTCCCCTGTGTGTGTCTAGCCTCACATCCCTGTGGCTCCCCTGTGTGTGTCTCTAGCCTCACATCCCTGTGGCTACCTTGTGTGTCTAGCCTCACATCCCTGTGGCTCCCCTGTGTGTGTGTGTGTGTGTGTGTGTAGCCTCACATCCCTGTGGCTCCCCTGTGTGTGTCTGGCCTCAGTTCATTTCCTCGTGTTAACTGATTACACTCAATATTGTTTCTATTTTTTCGATACTCTTGAGTATTTTGTATGTCTGGATCATAAGCACACAATATAGAACATTGCAGAAAGCCAATTGGCCTATAGGTCGCTCCTATTTTTATCCACCCAAACTCAATCATATAAACGTGTGTCCTCCGCTTGAAACAATCCAGCAATCCCTCGCCTATTGTTACCCCCCCCCCCCCTGTAATTTTCTTCTTTAAATCAACAATCCCTTTCCAAACCAGTGTTTTCCCCAAGATCTTTCCCTGAATCTAAACTTATCCATGTTTTATGTCCATTGTATCATGTTCTGTTTTATGTTATTTAAAACGTTATAAACATCCCCCCCTCTCCTTGCCACACTCCATTACTCTATGTATTTGAATCGTGTCGTCTTTCTAGAGAATCTAAATTTAGGTTTTTAATCTCTCTTCGTAAGGAACCTTTCTAGTTCCTGGCATTAACTGTCCTCCTCCTCCTCCTCCTCCTCTGTAAGCGTTTAAGCGAATGATATGTTCTTGAGAACATATCATTCGCTTACATATCACACGTATTGAATAGTGCGGAAACCTGAACTAAACTACGCACTCTAGACGAAGCCACATGAAGCTCAGATGCCAACCACAACAGCCTGGGGAAATACCACTAAACTTACTTGGAACGTCGCACAGCCAAATTCTGGACTTCGTGAGGAGGACAATAATCTGGTACTTTTGTGACACCGGGTTCGAATCCCCGGTGGTGTCCAAGTCAATCAAAATATATAAAGCTAAAGTTTTATAAAGCTAAAGTTTTATAAAGCTAAATATATAAAGTTTTAGATGTTGTCCTGTTGCCATCGCTTCTAGAACTATATCTCTAGTATGTTTCCTGGCCCCTAGTGTTACTAGATTAATATTTCTCTCTCTCTCTCTCTCTCTCTCTCTCTCTCTCTCTCTCTCTCTCTCTCTCTCTCTCTCTCTATCTCTCTCTCTGTCTCTCCTCTCTGTCTCTCTCTGTCTCTCTCTGTCTCTCTCTGTCTCTCTCTGTCTCTCTCTCTCTCTCTCTCTCTCTCTCTCTCTCTGTGTGTGTGTGTGTCTGTCTGTCTGTTTATCCCCGTACCGCAGTCCATTGTTTGTGTACATACTTGTGCGTGTTTGTGTGTACACTTGCGTGCGTGTGTGTATGTTTGTGTGTGTGTTTTCTTCAGGAAAATACTTGACTATGCCAAGCGCGTCGCTCCGTGAAAGTGTGGAAAAATTCTTGAGTGTTTATTTGGCCGGGTGAAAGGAGTCAACTTTCTACTGGTTGAGCCAACTGTGCAAGCACACTTTGATGGAAGTTGATGTGTTATATTAATGTCTTGTACTGATGATATCTTGTACTGATGTGTTATCTTTGCATGTGAACGATTAGTTGGTGCCTCGTCCTATCCACGGGGTTAATTACTGGTAGTAACTGTAGCGGCTAGATACAACGAGGATAGGAAGCCGAGACCTGAAGCCCATTACAGCGGATACAAAACCAGCTGTAGCGAAGATACCAAGAGGCGTTAAGCGAGCTCTATAGACTGTATTATTAAAAGCAAGAGTTCCAAGAGGTTATACTATAGTGTTTAAGCGCAGTTTGGTGGATACAGCGAGGCTCGTTGTGTGCGCTTATTTTACGAGGTCCGACAGCAATACAGAGGTGATAGTGGTTGTTGTTGATCTGAGGGTGGTGGTGGTGGTTCCTCCCAGCTGGTGCCTCTGGTCTGTACCACCTGTCCACCCACGGTGGTCTCTCCCT